ATAGATTTTCCTGGAAAGTATTTTCCAACCTCATGATGTTTTTCTGTAGTTACCCTCATCCATAGGTTATCTTCCCCATTTGCTAATCTATCCCACCACTTGCCTAAGAGGGTCATATTAAATTTCCTTAGATTATTTATACCTAAGCCCCCGCTGCACTTACTCTTGCACACTTTTTCCCAATTTATCCAATTTATTTTCCTACCTACTTCACACCCCCCCATAAGAACCCTCTCCTAATTTTGTCTAAGATATGTACAATACCTTTGGGCAGAAGATAGACAGACATGAGAAAAACTGGAAGATTGGACAACACAGAGTTTATCAAAGTTATTCGACCACCGAAGGACAAGTGTCTACCCTTTCACCCAGCAAGCTTTTTCTTGAAAGAATCCACCAATGGTTTCCAAAAAGCCAATTTCCTTGGATTGCCACCCACAGGGATACCCAGGTATTTGAATGGAATCTCCCCTTGTTTGCAATTTAGGATAAATGCCATTTTTGATAGCCATTCCTTACAGACATTTATCCCTGCCAACATACTCTTTCCGTAATTAATTTTCAGTCCAGAGACAAGTTCAAAAGCCCTCATAATACATTTGATTGCCCTCACATTTTCTTCAGTTGCTAGTCCAAACAAGATGGCATCATCAGCAAACTGCAGATGGGATATCTTTGTGTTTGCACAAACGCCCGGATTCTTTCCAGAGCAACATACACAGTTTCGTCGTCCATGTTTGCGAAGCACACCCTGAACCACCCTGGCTCCAACCCATGGAACGATGATCCAGGCGAGACGTTGAGTTTAACGTCGTCGACAATCACCCGCCACAGCTCTAGTTCTGCGTCAAAAGTTTGTTCCATAAGAAGCGGGCGCAGATCCATCCAGAAGAACAGCCCCGCATTACTTTCCAGGAAAAAGACCCCTGCCCTTATTAGTTCATTGGTAAGAAAACGATATCGGTTTGCCAGCCGTCTCGAGCTTTCCGACAAAAAGTTGTTGATGAATTCCTCGTCGGAAAGGAGTGCAGCGAGGAAATGTTGACTTTGAGACGAAACCAGTCCAAACCTGGACATTTTTCGAGCGCAACTGACGACGGCGTCATTGTAGGAATAAACTATTCCGACTCGAAAACCGGGAAGGCCAAGGTCCTTTCATTTACAGCTTGTCCAAGGACCTTGGACACAGGGCAGAGGTTAATATTAGGCCATGGACGAATACGTTGAAGGACATAAAAGAAGGTAATAAGAGGATCAAATGGAAAGACAGAGCACCCTATGCATATTGGAAAGGGAACCAGACGTTGCTGGTACCAGAGGAGATCTTATGAAATGCAAGCCCTCTAAACAAAATGACTGGAATGCACGTTTATACATTACGGTAGATTCCTTCACTTCATCTATATATCTTCTACTACCAGTAAATGTTTTTGATTTCACTTGTAGATTTCTTAATTAATTGCATCAAGTTCTCAATTTTAGAGATGGGACAAAGAAAAGACGATGAGGATTCAAAGGATCAAATCTGGAGGACCAATGCACCCACAGGTAAGTCACAGTTTTTTCATTCTAATTGTTCTCTGATTCTTTACCGTCCTTATAAAACAGTTATTATTTGCAATATACTTAACTCTTTTATATTCAATACAATACCAGCTGTAAAGAAAATGATGATATATTTCCAAATTTTAAAACAGGTATAAGATATACATAGAGGGGGTGGCATGGTCCGTGAGTGAAAAGTACATTCTAGCCTGTGATTCCATGACATTGTATGTGAAATCTCATTTCTTTGACTTCTTCAGTAGAGGGTTAGTTCCGTTACAGCAATATTGGCCCATCAGAGACGACACCAAGTGCCCCTCTCTAAAGTTCGCCGTTGAATGGGGCAACAGTCATCCTGACAAGGTGGAGGTCATCCGGAAGGCCGCCGTCCAGTTCATTCAAGAGGATTTGAAGATGGATTATGTGTACGATTACATGTTTCATTTGTTAAACGAGTACGCGAAGCTGCTCAAATTCAAGCCGGGAGATCCGGAGGGAGCGGTGGAGCTTTGTCCAGAAAGAATGGCGTGTCCTGAAACTGGAAAGTGGAGGGAATTTATGGAAGAGTCACTGGTGACATCTCCTAGCAATTCAATTCCATGCACCCTGCCTCCCGCTTACGATGCTACAGAGATGCAAGAATTTCTTGAGAGCAAAGCTAACGCAACCAGGCAAGTGGAGATGTGGGAAAAGGAATATTGGGATCACATAAATTTACAGCTTGTCCAAGGACCTTGGCCTTCCCGGTTTTCGAGTCGGAATAGTTTATTCCTACAATGACGCAGTCGTCAGTTGCGCTCGAAAAATGTCCAGGTTTGGACTGGTTTCGTCTCAAAGTCAACATTTCCTCGCTGCACTCCTTTCCGATGAGGAATTCATCAACAACTTTTCATCGGAAAGCTCGAGACGGCTGGCAAACCGATATCGTTTACTTACCAATGAACTAATAAGGGCAGGGGTCTTTTTCCTGGAAAGTAATGCGGGGCTGTTCTTCTGGATGGATCTGCGCCCGCTTCTTATGGAACAAACTTTTGACGCAGAACTAGAGCTGTGGCGGGTGATTGTCGACGACGTTAAACTCAACGTCTCGCCTGGATCATCGTTCCATGGGTTGGAGCCAGGGTGGTTCAGGGTGTGCTTCGCAAACATGGACGACGAAACTGTGTATGTTGCTCTGGAAAGAATCCGGGCGTTTGTGCAAACACAGAAAACGGTACAACCGCGAAGCTTCTCTCGTACAACCTACGAAGAAAATATCACATGCACTCCAAGTACAACCTACGAAGAAAATATCACATGCACTCCATCAGAGAAAATGATATTGGAAATTATATCATATTTTTTTACCATTATCTCTATAATTTAAGAAGTTTAAATTATTTATTTGTTTTAAGTTATTATCATTTAAATTCGATTAAATAAAATTAATTAATTATTTTTTTAAATAATATTATTTTGTAAAATTTATTTAAAGACTGAATTATTTTCAGTTTAACATGAGATTCAGTTTTTCATTCCATCTTTTTCTTCCCTTGAATCCTTGATTTTTTAAAAAAAGAATTACCTTTTTTTTTTTTACCCCTTATCGGGTTTTTCTCCTAAGTTATACTCTATGGGGAATATTTTCTTGGGAAAATAATTTGAAATTTTCAATTGTTACGAATTTGTCAATGGGGCTTGTCATTAGGGTCATAGAAAATTAGGACATTCTGTTAGGATATCTATCACAATTATTGATTTTAAGCTTTTATTTAAAAATCCATTTATTTGACTATTGTGATGAATGCCTTGACACCAAGACATCTTGATTTTCATTTTTTACTTTGTCATTTATGTTGTATGAAAATTCTTGTGGGAAATTGTAACGTTTGTAATGATACATTTTTATTAGTTTGGAGTTACTTATTGCCCTGCATGTTTTTAAGATTCAGTTAAACAAAACCACCCTGCATCTGCATGCTAGAATGATATCATCTTCTTCTTCTCTCTCTCTCTTTCTCTTTTTTAAAGAAAATGATGTCATCGTTAATTTTAATCTTTTATACTATTAAATCAGTATCAGCACTAGAATTTTTATTATAAAAAAATTGTTAAACGCAAC